TAACTTCTTCGCCGGAAACACGTCGGCTTCACACTCGCAGCTGTTGCCACGCGTCTTCGCTCGATAGCAGTAGACACACACTCTTGCCTGTAGCCCGAGTCGTCACCCCTCAGGTGGAAATCCTCCTCTTTTCCTCCTTTGTCACGGAAGACGAAAGGCTTCGCCCACAAGGCGGAACACCCTACGCTCTCTGGCGCATACTTTCTTCTTCTCCTGTTGTGCCACTAAGGACAAAACCTTCACCGACAGACGCGGCGGGATACCCTACGCACACAGGCGTTAACTTCCTTCTTCTCCTAATGCGCTCATCTCGGCTGCTCGACTAAATACCTTCCGCGCGAGATTCCAGTAAGTTCTCATCATTTCGTCGGTGCGATGCGCAGACAAGTCTGGGGGAAGGGCGAGACGATACGGGGGCCATCCGCGACGGATGACTCAACCCGGCATCACCACGCCCCTTTCCATCGAGAAAATCCCAGGGCTTGCTCGGCCGCCGATGCGAGGAGGTTTCGTCGATGAATCTACGCTTCCGAGGGAGAGAGTCGCGTGCCCGGGGAGTCTTTGGATGTTTGTTTTCTTTTTTTTATCGTTGACCTCGCGGCGTCACTCCGGTGTTTCGTCGCGAGAATTTGGCGGCGCGCCCTTTTTGAGTGCTCGTTTTGTGACACCACCTAACCTTCTGTCTCCCTCTAACCCGCTTGCCTTCTCTGGGGACCCAGTTAGTTACCCTTAACGACCAGCGGTCATCCTGTCTACGCGCTACATGCCCGGCCCATGTCCATTTCTTTTTCTTGATTTCAGCTAAGATATCCTTAACCCCCGTTTGTTCCCTAATCCACTCTGCTATATATATATATATATATATATATATATATATATATATATATATAAAGGCAGGCATGGTGGTGGTGTGGCCATGGCGTTGTAAGTAGTCAAGTAGAGCCTCCGTGAGCAGTCGATACGTCATTTGTTTCGACGCTTCAGCCAGAGTCTGGCCTTCATCAGGAATGAGGGTACAGTTTGTTGGTGCTCAGTTTTATGCAACTTAAAGGAGAGAGGGTACGCGAAAAAGAGAGAGAACATGAGGTAGACTCTCCTCCCCCTGGCCGTCCCTTTCTTGTTTTTTCTTTCTTTCCCTTCCTTCTTTCTTCCTGTCTTTCTTTTTTCTTCCCTTCTGTTTTCCGACAATCACCCTTAAGATATCCGCGGTCGGCATATACTTCCTGCCACTAACGTATTGTTCCCGACCAGATGACACCGCATGGCTCCGGCAGTCCGATGTGGAGGAAAAGGAGCTTTTTTTAAGAAGTTTAAGCCTTTAACTACTCAGCGCCTCGTGAACGGCTCGCCGTTGAAAGAGGGGTGCCGCGCGTTGCTGCAGAGGCTGGCAAGTGGGTGCAATGTCCATTCTAGGAGTACAATGTCAATTCTGGCCCGCTCCTGGATAACACAGCAGGGCCCCCTGATTGTGCACAGGGTTGCTGTTTGACATGTCGTGCTTAGCACAATTGATTGGATAGTAAAGTAGAAACAGGAACAGACGACAGCTGTACTGAGGAAGAGTAGATACACCTAGAAGTATTTTCAGTTGTCCAGTGACCGTTGCAGCTGCAGTGCTGTGAACTCAATTATCATTGTCATTATTGCCGTTATTGTTTTCTAATGCTTTAATTGCTGCAAGTGGGCAAGGATTCTCATTTATTTCTCTTTCGAGGGTGTTAACTCAGTGGATGAGGTATGATTCTCGTTGTTCCCGTTTTCGGTTTCATTTGAATCCCGTTTTAAGAGTGTTACTGATAGTTTGTAGAATGCATGGTCAGCAAGGTTGAGATGTTCTGATAGAGGTAGATTTGGGGTTGATTTCGCATGGGCTCTGTGGCTATTGAAACGAATCCTAAATATTGTTTGTGTTCGTCTGATGTACTGCATACTGCACACGTTGCATTCTAGAAGGTATACTACATTAGAGGAATCGCATGTTTGGTTTTCTCGTATGTTAATTGAAAATTTGGATTGCGTGCTGGTTGCTTTGTCTCTTTTTCGCATCGCTTTACATACAAGACATGGGGACTATAAACAGTATCGGCATGAATTATTAGGGGGTGAAGTATTGATATGAGAGTGGACAAACGTGCCTTTAAGGTTGCGTGGCTGTCAGTAAAAGACGGTGAATGGGAATGCGCGTTTAAGACATTCACTTTGTTCCAGAATGTTGCAATGTCGTTTGAGGATTTTGTTTACAGTGGAAAGTTCGAGCTGTAAGTTAAGCAGAGGTTCGTTTGTTGCGAAGCTTCTTGTAGTGGTCACTTCATAAGTTAGTCATCACGCTTCAGTTCCCTAGCTTTCTGAACGGCGTCATCCATTACCTGTGGGAATATTTTTGTTTATCTAGCATACGTTTTAGCCTCTGTGAGCTCGTGTCAAAATCAGCATTTCTTCTTAAAGGTGCCCGCTTCTAAAAGGCACCCGCTTGCCAGCCTCTACGGCAATGCGCAGCGCACATCTTACAGCGGCGAGCCGTACACTTGGCACTGAGTAGTTAAAGGCCTAAACTTCTTAAAAAAGCTCCTTTTTCTCACACCGAACTGCCGGAGCCATGCGTTGCCCTCTGGTCGGGAACAATATGTTAGTGAAAAGAAGTATATGCAGACTGCAGACATCTTAAAGGTGATCGTCAGAAAAGGGAACGAAAGGAAAACGAAGGAAAGGGAGAAATAAATAAAAGGGAAAGAAAAAAAGAAAAAGCAAAAAGGTAGAGAAAAAGAAATGAAGTTGAGGAGGACGGCCTGGGGGTGGGGGGGGGAGTCTTCTTCAAGTTCTCACCCTCTTTTTTGTGTACTCTTTCTTCTTTAAGAATGTATAGAGCTGAGCACCATTAAACTTTGCCCGCAATCCTAATGAAGGCTATGCGCAGGCTGACCCGTCGAAATACACAACGTATTGACTGCTCCAGGAGTGTCTACTTGTCTACTTGACTATATATATATATATATATATATATATATATATATATATATATATATATATATATATATATATATATATATATATATATATATATATATATATATATATATATATATATATATATATATATATAGTAGACAAGTATATGCGTTCGCAAACGACAGAGGAATGTGCGAAAACGTTTATTTCTTTGAGCATTTCAGAAGAAGGGCCTGCCTTCGGCAGGGATTGCATAGGGAAACTGGGGGCTACATCGAACGAACATGCTGCTTACCCGCAGGTCACGGGATGGGGCTGAATTTTTCATGGAGGCCAAAATGCTGTTGGCCCATGTCCTCAGATTTGCGTGCATTCCCAGGTGGTCCAAATTTTCAGAGCTCTCTACTACGGCGTCTTTCATGATCTAATGGTCGTTTTGGGACGTTAAACTCCACAAATCAATCAAATCAATCGAACGAGCATAGCCTTAATACGTACTTTACTCATAGAACATTGGCCAGCAGGAATCATGTGAAGAAGTTGGATTTTCCTAACAAGCATTCGCCAAGGACGATTACTTTGTCATATTCACTTTCGAAACTGAGCGGTGTTATCAGAACGCTACGTGGAGTGAGTAGGAACTATCGCTAGCCATTATGTGCTTAGCGCTCACATGTTTCCTCGTCATCCCCTGCCCACACCCCGTGTTCACTGTTTGCATCTACGCTCGTTCGTTAACGTGGTAGATGCCGTCAAGCGAAAGACTTGCTACTTTTTTGCATATTCAGCGATAATCAATGAATGCACTTGAGCGTGAGTAAAAGAAGTGTTACGTTTCCGCTGCATTACGGCGTCCGAGGAAGTATGCCCAGTAATGCCTCAATCACACGGCCGTCGGATGCTCCAACGCGTCACCGTAGTGGCACCACTTTGGTCATTATCTCCTCGAAAACGGAGTGAAGATGACGTAGAAAGGCGTTCTATGTTTCCGTCACCGGCATCATGACGGAGCCCCGCCCATACAAAAATGACAAATCAGATGTCTTCAAGAGTGCTACAACTACACATGTTTTACCACCACTTAGTTCTTCGTCTCCGAGCTTTGTGGGTCATCGCTTTGCTCGCTTGCAGAGCCACAACAGCAACGTAAGCCACCCATCATAAAAAAATTGGCTGTAAGGTTGTCATGGCAACAGGACTTTTAAAAATCATTTCCTTGAATTTAGTACAATGCAATGATATCAACTTTGTGTTCGCAGTGTACTATTCTACTGATAAAAATTTTATTATTTGTCGACGTAGTCATTCCGCTGTATGCAAAGAGTACTAGTTTGATCCAAATGCTCGTTTCATTTCTTTGTGCTTAGGCGACCACGGAATCAATCAGTCCACACTGCAAAAAAGCGGGCTACTGTTGACGTTATTGTCCTTGTTGCCTATTTGTACACTCGTATGTCCCCTCTGCGATCCGTTTTCATAACGTGACGGTAATGTGACGGAATGTTCGACAGCCGTGTGAATGGTGTCTAAAACATTGAAAAATTAGGCCAACGCATGGGCCAAGACAATTGAGACGTTTCTCGCACCCTACGAGCAGAGCTGTGTGTGAAGATTGCAAGGCGCTATTTACATCAATATTGCATTTCCTCCTTTTAGCCCACCTCCAGATATCAGCCACCATTCCAAACTACAAATCGCGACAAAATACAAAACGAAAAAAAATTTGTTGCCATGAAGGCGTCTATTTTTCAGAATCAATAGGTGGTTCCGCGAAGCCATCTTGCGCGCCAAGGTTACTTCAAATACAGCAACTTTATCAGAGGTGTTATATCAAATTCGATACATAGGCGTAACCAATTTTTCTCTCTCTTTCTTGCTAGTTAGATATATGCGGGTTTCACAGCACTTCAAATGTGTTATAAACCCAGCAAATAAAGGCCAAGAATTTTTTACATGTTCCAAGTACCATTCGTTTTCAGCATAATTTTATTAATGACATCAATAAAAAAGACGCTTTGCAACATTCTAACATAGCTGCAATCGATCTCTCGCAGTGGCATTGGGCGAAGTTTCTCAACACCATTTTCGATGGAGTCACTAAGGTAAGCGACAGAGACTACATTCGAGTCAAGACGCCTTTCTACGTCGGCCACATGTCGCGCATTCTCAACACTGTATCAAGGTGAGTATCAAATCTGTTCGCCAGTTGACGTATATGTTCGAACATGCTCACTTGAATATGCCGGCCACAATCGAGGATCAGGTGGTGTGTACGATCATGCTCAAGTAAACTAGGGTGTATAGTTTTTTTCTTTATCTTTGCTGGTTTCTATAGAACTTTGGTTGTGTTTTCGTAAAGGTGGCCAGAATGTGCAGTATACACTATTCCACAACCACGTTGTGGTGTCTCGAAATACCAATGTAGGTGCAGGAAACTTAGCCCGAAGCCAAAATAGCTTTCTTTAACCTTATAGCTCTATCACGGCATCAGCGTTATTAAGTTGTATGTAAGAGAATATATCGTGTTTGGCAAGTAAAATAAATATTCTTTCCTGTTTACATTTTGGAAGTTTCATTCCTGTTGGATGTTGTCGAATATTATATTTGTGCGAATTTTAGGTTTGATGTAAAAAATTTATTGATGCCAATAAATATGTTAGCCTTACATTTCAGCAATTCTTAGCAACCGACAGGGCACCTCAAGAACTAACTCCGCCTTCTATGACAATAATTACTGTGGCACTATTGCTCTGATAGCGGTACTGCAGCCAGAACGCTCCCGTCGCCGGCCTTCAAGCCGGCCTTCACTGCAGCGACACAGCCAGTTACAACCCCTAAATACATGACAACACATTCTACAAGACTTCACTTCACTTCATACACAGCACCGGCCTATAACGGCGCATACTTAACAAACATTCTCGCAAAATTATTATGCCTTAAAGGCAAGTCTTTGTCATAATAAAAAGGCGGAGTTAAAACGAGGGCGACCGGACTCGTTACAAGAAAAAGAAACAATGATTGCTGTTCATATGGGAGATGGCGGAGAAATTTGTGTTAGAAAAACTGGCCCCTTTATATACGAACTGTATCTTGGCAGACAGAGTACCACATTCTTGGAAGAACGCCCACATCATCTTAATCCATAAAAAAGAAGACGTCAAGGACATGAAAAATTACAGACAGACCAGCTTATCTCGGTTCTCTACAAACAATAGATTAAAGTAGTAGCTAATAAAATTAGAGCAACATTACAGTTGAGTCAACCAATGAACCAAGCAGGATTTCGTACAGGATACTCCATGATTTACGATAATCACACTATCAATCAGGTGATAGACAAATGCGTGGAATACAACCAACCCCTATACACAGCCTTCATAGATTACAAGAAGTCGTTTGACTCAGCCGAGGCATCAGCAGTCATGGCAGTATACGAAATGCGTATACAAAATGGCAGTATAAGAAATGGCTCTATACAAAACGTACTGAGAGAAATATGCATTGAATCCACAGCCACTATAGTTCTCCATAAAAGAAGCGACAGAATCCCAATAAAGAAGGGTGTACGACAGGAAGACAGGATCTCTGCTCTACTATTCACCGTGTGCTTACGTGAGGTTTTCAGGGCCTAGTTTGGGAAGTGTTAAGTATAAGAGTTATGCAGAGATCTTAGTAAGCTGTCATTCGCTGATAAGATTGTCTTGATGAGTAACCGAGAGGACGAGCCGCACCTCATAAATACTGAACTGGACACGGAAAGCAGAAGAGTAGGTTTGAAATTTATTATGTATAAAACTAAATAAATCTGTCTTGCCAGAAAACAGCGCTTTGCAATGGTTGACGAAATGCTAAAAGTTGTAAAACAATATGTCTACTTAGGACATGTGGTAACCGGGTAGCCATTACTTGAGAGTGAAATAAATAGAAAAATAAGGATGGAGTGGATCAAAATTGGCAAGCATTCTCTATTCATGAATGGTTATCTACCACTAAACCTCAAGTGCATGGTATAAAACAGCTTCAGCTTGCCGGTACTTCCCTACGGAGCAGAAAGTTGGAGGCTTACAAAGATCGTTCAGCTTAAATTGAGGATGACGCAGCGAACAATGGAAAGGAAAATGATAGGTTTAAACTTAAGAAACTAGAAAAAGTAAAATGGGTCAGGGAGCAAATCGGGGTTAAGGATATCATAGTGGAAGTTACGAACAAGAAATGGACATGGACCGGGCACGTAACGCGTAGGCAGGAGAAGCGCTGGTAATTTAGGGTAACTGACTCGATTCCTAGAGAAGCCAAACGCACGAGGTAAAGAGAGAGAGAGAGAGATATGGGCGCCGATGAGATTAAAAAGTTCGCAGCTTTAACAGGGCGGCAGATAGCACAAGACTGGGTTGATTGGCGGTTCATAGGAGATGCATTTGCCCTGAAATGGGCGTAGTGAGCCTGATGATGATTATGATGATGAACAATGATGCTTGTTGAGCTGCAGCAGCCAAAGCGAAGTTTGGAGAGAGTATTACAAGGACACAGCAGGAACGTGAGCATTGTTAGCAAGTAAGAGCCTTTTGTGCGGTGGTCTGGCGTTTTATTGCTTACTAAAGGTCGAGTAATTAATCAAGCATGATTGCTTGTAGCCAGGCAACCACACAGCTTGTGCTTAGGTACTGTATTGTAAAATGTATTTCCCTGATTAGAGTACGATAATACGGCACTCATATTTTTTTTTCTTTTTGCTTATACTTGAAAAGAGGCTTGAAGTGGGCAATGCGTTGAGGATACAACGTGGCGGCATAACAACATGGAAGCTTCATGAGGCCATCGTTACTCCACTTCTCGAAAAGCTGTTGTTCCATATCAGAAAAGAAAAAAAAGTTGTGCTGTTGAAAAAGATACTCGCTCACCACTCTGCGAGGCCGTGTTCAAGCCTAGCCAAGTAGACTGTTTTCTCCTAAGTAAGCTCGTTGATTTTTCAATTCATCGCATTGCGGTGAGACTAATTCATCGCTATTTGTTTGGCCTAGTAAACTGTGATGTCTTAAGCTAGCCTCTCTCTTTCTTTATTTCTCTCGCCGCATAGTAACCGCCAGACGGCGCTGCCCTTTCACACGAGTGAAAGAGCAGCGCTCTTGGATAGAGGATGAGAGAGTGCTTGGGAAAGTGCAGAATGGGTTTCAGAAAGAGAAAAGAGAGAAATATGGAAAGGGGTCATGGTTCCTGTTCTGACGTTTGGCGATGCGGTCTTGTGCATGAGATCAGAAATTCAAGCAAGATTAGAAATTAAGCGACCAGGGAGAGTCGTTGACAGGTGGTATGGACCGATATGATTCCAAAGTGGCACCAGTATCTAAGATAAGTAGAGTCCGGGACAGGAAAGACGTAGCCACGAGCACCGAGCCAATTCAGACATAGGGTATATTAACATGCAGGGTGGCAGGAAGAGGCTGAAGTGGGAAGAGATGGAAGAACAGCTAAGGGAGGAGAGGCGGATGGTATACGCTTTTGTAGCAACACATCTTAGGGACATGGAACACCCTCCTAACAATCCGGACTTCACGTGGGAACATTGTAATAGAACCGGAGCAGCAGAAAGGGGGTGGTATTGGGGTCTTCATTCATAAATGTACAGACTGGCAAAGGGTCAAGCAGGAGTGCAAGGAACATTTATGGCTAAAAGGGAAAGTGGCAGGGCAAACGACACTTCTTGGTTTCGTGTACTTGTGGACGGGAGCAAAGGCCAGAGAGGAAAACCAGGCAATGGTAGAGTGTATATCAAAGGACATTGAGGAGTTAGGAGGAGAATGCAAGATAACTATACTAGGAGATATGAATGTGCACATAGAGTATATAGATGGGTATACCGACCCGAAAGGCAAAATGATCATGGATATGTGTGAAAGGCATGATTTGATCATTTACAACAGTACCGGGAAGTGTGAAGGGCAAATAACATGGCAGGTAGGAAGGCTGCTGTCGACGATAGATTATGCACTTATGTCACATAGGATGTATGATAAGCTCAGGGAAATGCACATAGATGAAGGTGGCTCCAGAAGTCTGGGTAGTGATCACAAACGTATCAAGCTAAGTTTTGGAAGAGCAGTGAAAGTGGGAAGGAGACAAGATGAGCAACTACAGGAAAAATTTTATTCAGAAAGGCAAATAGAAATAGCTACTAAACAAATTGAGAAAATCACTGAGGACAGTAAAACAGTGTGAACATACACGAATCTAATTAGACTGTTTGAGCCAGAGCTTGCTAAGGCACGTGACAAGTCACACTGGAAAAGAAGACACAAACCCAAAAGTTGGTAGGATGAGGAAGTTAAGAGCGCCATAGCAAAACGTAAGGAAGCCACTAGGGAACACAGACATGTCAAGCAGCGGGGAGAACCGACAGTTTATGTTGAAAGAAAATGAGAAATCTTTCAAAGCTGTAAAAGGGATGCATCCCTTCTGATCAATGAAAAGATTCGAAGAAAGGGAGCTCAATGGCTGGCAGAAGTACGTAAATATGATAGAAAGACAACTGCGAAATTTTGGAACCATCTAAACTCCATAAGAAATGAGACGAGCCTAGAGCAGAGGTTTATAACTACAGCTCAAGGTGCTAGGCTAAAATGGGGACGAAGCTATTGAATATATAAGAACAAGGGTGACAGAAAAATTTCAACCAAGAAGTGCTTTATGCACCACAATAGACAAGAAAGAATCAAGTGGCACAATGGCTCTATTTTCACAACGAAAGTAGGAAGGGGCTGAGAAGAGGGTTCCTAGTAGTACATCAACAGGCCCAGATGGCATTCCAATTTTGCTGATAAAGACATTAGGTCCGAAGTCTAAGCAGGCTTTGAGAGAGGCAGTGAGCAAAATAATAATCGATGGTGAAATCTCCGATGGATGGAAACTTAGCAGGATGAGCATGATCTATAAAGGAAAGGGCGACAAAGCTGACATAAACAACTACCATCCTATAACAGTGACATCAGAGGTCTACAGGCTGGCGATGCAGATTATAAAGGAAAGACTGCAGGCATGGATAGAGGATGAGAGGGTGCTGGGGGAGCTGCAGAATGGGTTTCAGAAACACAGGAGGTTGGAAGACACTCTGCTCTCACTGACGCAGTGCATAGAAATAGTAGAAAAGAAACACAGGCCCTGTGCCTAGCATTTTTGGTCATC